AACAGAAAGCTTTCTCTCCCGCCGTACCCCAGCCCCGTTTTGCACGCTGAAATGGGAGGCCGCGTTTCCAACCCGGACCCGGGGATATTGCCCATACTCACAGGCCCTGTTGTATCCGAAGCTAACGGTTTTAGATAAAGGGCCATTGTCTTGGGTGCCCAGCGGGTTCGGGAAAAAGAGCTAGCAGGACGTTTCTCAGGCAGGTCGGTGAGCGTACACGCGACGCCACAGAGAGCTTGCACGAGACGAGCTAATATGTCGCTCTCTCCCCGTGACTAAACGAGGAAGAAAGGCGCCGAGCGCAAACGCGCCCGGAGAGCTCAGTTACGCGGTGACGAGCTTCACGAGCAGCGGGAGCGGGATAGACAGCAGCAAAAAGCAAACAGAGCTGAGCTGAGTGAACCAGACCGGGAACCCGTACGCTGTCTAGACCGCCTGCAACATGCGAGTCGACGGGCACAGATGTCGGGACAGCAACAGGAACAGGCACGCGAGCTCAACCGTCAGCAACATGCGCATTGGGGAGCAACCTGTCGGACCAGCACATGGTGGCTGAACGCGAGCTGGACCGACAACGGCATGCTCATCGACGAGCGGAGCAGACAGAAGACGAGCGCCAGTACGAGCTCGAGCGGGTGCGCACTCGACGACAATGTGTCCGTCATGGGCATGCTCTTATTTCCCTCGAAGACCTCGACGCATCAAAGATTACGGACTACGACGTGTTCAATGGTCGATACAAGCTCCCGGCTACAACGGTTTGTCCGATCTGCAATGCTTGGAAGTGGCCTGGGGAGTCTGCGATATCATGCTGTCTGGTAGGGCAGGGTAAAGCTGCCTCCACTGCACCCCGCGCCACCAAAATGGCTTCAGCTGTACGGAGATCCCGAGTTTCGCCGTCAAATCCGTGCCTACAACCAAGCTTTTGCATTTACATCGATTGGTGCTTCGTGCTCAAACCGATCGTTTAAAAATGTACATCAAGGCGAAAGCGTTGCGGCTATACACGGCGTGTACACATATCGCATTCAAGGGGCTATGGGGCACTACCCAGGGTCTCTCCTCCCCCACATAGACCGTCGGACAGGCGCGCGGGTAGCTCCAATGTTTGCACAGATCTACCTGTGAATCCAGACATGCAACGCCGCGCGGAGCGACGTCTTGGTATATTCGCGGATCTGGATCGTGTTGCACTACTAGACATCGAGAAAATGATGGCAGAGCACAACCCATTGGCGCATCGGTTCCTTCACTTTGGGCAGCAAGTGCGTCTCCACACCTTTAGCTTCGAGGAGAGCGATCGTTCGTGTTTCCTCTGTTCTCATCTGAATGGTACTTTTAGTGGAGCTAGTAAACAGCTTGATCTTGGGCTGGCGACCCTCCGAACCCTCAGAAAGAGCTGGTTGCGCCACAAGTACCAGGTATTTCAGCAAGTCCTTGGCAAGTTCTGTCTTACCACTCCCACCGCAGAGACAAAGGGATTGCCCGCGACCCTCAGCCATAGTACGGTTGCTCAGTGTCGACGAAGCTAACGACGAATTACCACCTGTGCGCCTATTATTGAAGAAAAGTCGAACTAGACTTTGTTTCGCGATAGCAAATGGATGCGGAGCCCGTACTGTCTCAGCATTTGCCGTGTCAGCGTAAGTGAGTACAACCTGCTCGTCGTAAATTGACGTGAATCGAGCAGTCTGTAGCAACCGGTACGGGTTCATCACGATTATCATGTGGTGGTTGACGTACGTGTAGATGCGGTCTTCGTCAAAACGGCTCGACAATGCGTTTACATGCCTTCCTCCGAGTTGACTTGGCCAACAGTGACACTCTTTTGTTCCACAATTAAGTCATCGTTATTGCCTCGACCCAGACTCCATGGCTGCTTCGTTCGCGTGTCGTCCGTTTTGTCGCTAGACGCCGACTTAGCTGCTGACCCAGCTCGGTCGGACAGCTCCTCAAAAGTTGCGGGGTAGCTGTGAAACGAGGGGCAGCGTATTCGCGGCGACGTTTGAGACGAAGCAACAGGGGAGTCAAGTTCGACTTCTTTTAGTTTCTCTGCTGCTGACATCCGTGATCTACGTCCCGTGAAAGCTTTCGTTGATTCTCTGGAATTTCCTTCAAACTGGTACCGCAACTTGAATGCTTCCGCCAAAATTCTGTCGGGATTAGGCTCGGAGCTCCCTGATTTCTCTTGAGCGAGACAAATGCCCTGAACAAGCTCTTGATACTGTGCCATTGACCATTGCGAAGGAGGCCCCCACGTACTTTTTTTCTTATTAAGGAGAACTCGTGGGAGCCGATTGAACGGCTCCTGATTGACCGCCCGAAGACTGTCGCAATCTGGGAACAGAAGCGGCGGCAGCTTCATAAGTAGTCCGGGGCTTCTTGCCCGAACAGGGTACGGACGATGAATACATTCCGTACCCGCGCTCATCGTGAGCGCTAGAAGCCGCGCGCTTCAGGATGTCCCTTGGAAGCATGCACTTGCTGATCATGTGGGCAAACCTCACACGAAGATCACGCTGGTCCAGGATGCGGAACAGCAGCTGATCTTCATGGAGGTCCCGTAACTCCGTGGGTGAGTAATTAAGAGACTGCACCCATGCCCAGAACATGTCCTCACAAGAACTTCACGTGGGACAGTTCTCAGTCATAACTTAGGGGTATCCCAAAGAGGATAGAGACCACCCCGGGTCTCGGGCTTCTTACGACAAGTCGTGAAGTCCTTAAGCGGGATGCGGTGTGGCGCGAGAAGCACACACCGCGCAGCCTTCAAGTCGTCAACGAACAACTGTTCTTTCTGAACAAGGGCTCGTTCATAGATGCCCCTAGAAGTGTGGCCGCCCACAAGGCCACGAGGAGCGACGAGAATCTCTAAGAAGAGGTCAGCCCCAGAGCTCTCCTCGGGAGGCCAATACCCTCTTGAGTTAGTGAAGCTAGTGATGCAGAGTGTATATAAACAGCCATCATTTAGTGAATGAAGATAATCTTAGTTAGTCAATAAATTTACTAAAATTTTGAAATGTGTTGTCTACAAATTCACCACTCGTCAGGCAAGTACAGCTTATCACGCTAAACTGGGCATCACGACTTTTTCATTTACCCTGTACTGTACCGAGTAGATAGCACGTGAGGATTGTGAGCCTTGCAAAACTCCGCAAATAGTTAGCTCATATCAATCGCTTATCCTGTGCTGTACAGGGTAATTTTCGACCAAAAACGCGAGGCTAAAGGGGTTAAAGAGCCCATAAAGCTGAATGTCTCAACCAGCTTTATTCCGCTAAGAAACACAAAAAATGACATCCAAACGACTGGTTTCAAAACTCAGCTCTGGGTTGAATTTTGATTCGTTCTCCTTTGCCCCTTAAAACAGTGACAGTAGTTCTAAAACCAACGGATGGAGCAGCAGACAAAGAAACAAAGGGCGACCTGGAGGCGTGTGGATGAAAAGGCGCTGCTTAAGTGCTACCTTGCAGCGCGCAGCGATGCTTCCTTAAAAAGAGACAAAGGTGTCAAGTCAAAGGGCTGGGCGCTTATCGTAACGCGCCTAGCGAAAGAGGGAATCTCTGCTGACAAAGGTTAGTGGTTTCAGTTGTCCGACACTATTGTACTGACCGTATTATTGTATTTGGCAGACCAATGCAAAACTAAATACTCAAGACTGATGTACGGATACGATGTATTCAAGAGACTTATGTGACTTAAGTGGTGCTGGCTGGGACAGCAAGATTAATGCTCCTACACTCACTGACGAAAACTGTCGTAGGAGCTTTTATCCATTCTGAAGTGATCGCGGAACAGAAATGGATTAGGACTGGTGTAGATTGACTGAAAAAACATGGCTGGGGGTCTTGAGCTCATAGCCGTGGTATAGGCTCCCTGAGTGCTATTTGCTTTGAGTTGCGCCTCCTGACATTTTGAGCAGGCGCCTGGGAGGAGCCCACCAGTTACATGCTGTGTTCTTCGTGGTTCGCTTTCTACCATTTTTTCCCTGGTGATTGGTCTTTTATTCTGTGTCTACCTGAGTATAATGGTTGGGCGGTGGCGGCAGACTCCTTCAAATCCAGCCTTTTCCTGATGGAACACGAACACTCATTTTTATCTTTATTTTACTTAACAAAACGACTGTTCTACAGCTCTAGCTTATTTTCAAACAAGCTGGATTTGCCCCTGCAAACCGAACACGGCCTTAAAAGTTTAGTTCTTGCAGCTCAATTTAAGTAAATGGCAGCGATTGTTGCACAGTTTTTCTTGCACGACATGCACAGTACATCATGCGAAGTCGCTTAGATATGAGACATGTAAGGTTGCTTTATCGACATAAGGTTGCTTTTGTTGAACTTGAAAAAATCAGTTACACGATCTTC